AAGGGTCAATATATTTACCACATACTGAGTTATCATATTTTTGAACATTATTATATAACGAATGAACAAACTTTTTAACTTTCCTTTCTGATTTTGGTTTATATGTTGCAAATGCGAAAGATTCACGGGCGCAATCCATCTGAAGATAACCAGCATCACCTCTTTCGGTTTCTACTTCTAATTGTTTAAAGCTTTGATTTGATGATTTGTAACCAACGAATAAACGCATGCATTTAAAAGCGGCATCACATGTGAAAGCTTTATTTGAAACTAGAGTTGCTTTAACTTTGCGTTTAATATATGTGTCACCTAATTGGTTCACATCATGAGCCGGATTTGTAATTCTTAAATGAGTTTGTTTATCATCAAAATATGGAGCATCAGAGTCATAGCATGAACTTTCAAGTTCTCTATAATATCTTCTTCCGTCATTCTTTGCGAATATTTCATTTATCTTTTCGAATGAATGAAACACATTTCCATTAATCGGTTTAGTGTTTGGCACTAAATAGTTAGTCGTCATTTATTATTAAATAAAAAATCAAAATTAAAAGATGAAAATGAATTTTTAATTTTAATGAAATAATCAACTATGGCTGCAGGATTCTTTAAGAAACTGTGGGATAAAGTAAAAAGAGGAGCGCATAAAGTTTGGGAAATTAAGAAAGGAGCAAATTGGATATTTAAGAATAAAGAAGCAATTAGTGACGTTGCTGAACAAATAGCACCTAATGTTCCGGTAAGAAGTATTAAATAAAGGAGATAAGGTTTATCGACTACAACCGATACTAAGATAAAAATAATATTTATTTATTTTTCCACTATCTACCCCTATTTTATTAAGTATTCCTTCAGCAATTCCACCAACTGCGTTACCTGCTTGTGCTCCCATCGCCGGATTACCTGCTTTAGCACCTAATACTCCTCCTATGATAGTTCCTGCCGTTTTCGCTACTGGTGCCAAAAAGTTTGCAACGGGTTTAATAATCTTTTGATGAACCCAACTTGCAGCTTTCTTAATTCCTTCCCATAATTTTTTAAAGAATCCTGCCGCCATCTCTGATTTAATATTAATTAAAAAATATATTTCATCACTTATATTCTAATTTTTTATTTAATGATAAATGAAACCGATTTTAAAAATAAATGAAACAGAGGAGGAAGAAATAAATGAAAGTGAAAATGTTCAACAAAAAATAAACGTTGTTAAACCAATTACTGAAATAAAAATTTTTTCATCTGTTGATGAATTTAATGACTATTATGCTAATAATAAAAAATTATTTGAAGAATTGACAACATGTAAATTGAATAAAATGTTTAAAGTTGAGGACAGAGTCCAAGACCCGGAGGGTCATGGATTCAAAATTTCAAAAATAAAAGGTGTTGTTAGTTTAAAATCTATTCCTCAATCAAGAATCACCTCATTAATGAAAATTGATGATTTAACAAAAAGAATAGAAATTATTGAAGAGAATAAATCAAATATTGATTTCATAAATCATGACTCGTTGAGCCCGGGTCCTTAAAGCTCAAGGCACAAAGTGCCCAGGACTTAAAGTCCATCACTGAGTTCAAGGTTATATTCATCAAATATTTCATTATTAAATGCAACTTCTGCTAGTTTATTTATTTTTTCAATACGATCATTTGAAAGTCTATCGTTTAATTTTTTCTGAAGTTTTTCATTTTCTAGTTCTGAAACTTTATTTGGATGATATTTAAACCCGTTAAATTCTTTTTCCTCAGTTTTGATCATTAATTTACAAAGAACTTTTGTGGTTGGAATTCGTTTAAACCATTTATCATTAATATTTGTTATAAATTCAATATCTGGAATTAATTCCCAAATTTTTGCATTTTCAATTAATTTATTATCAAATGCAAAAGCAATAGGTTTAATATTAAACTTACCTTTATAATATATACTTTCTACATAATCATCGAAATAAACATCTACTTGTTTAACATTTTCAAGAATTGGTGAAAGAACATCCATTAATTGATTGACGGTTACGAATCTTGATCCACTCATTTTCTTACGAATTAAAAAAATAAATTATTCAAAAAATGTAAGACATGAATTTTTAAAGTTTATTTTTTCATTCATGAATGATAATTATATCTAATTTCTTTTACTCTCTCGTATATACTAGATTTAAAGAATTCAGAACTTTTACCATAATCTCCTAAATGTTTTCTTATCCCTAACGTGTGCCAGTTATTATATGAAACTGTAATAAACTTTATCTTTATCTTTGCATCTTTCATCACTTCCAATATATTTATATCTCAGTTTTGATTTAGCATTTTCATATTCATTAACGTTTAATAATTCACAGTCTTCCTTTTTAAATAAATGTTTTATGTATTCAGGATTTAATACTCTACGTTTATATGCTCCTAACTTAGTTCTAAAGGTTTTTCTACAAAATTTAGGAATTCCATCCTCTTTAATGTCATCAATGATTTCCATTTCATTATTTTCAATTTCTTCTTCTCGTTTATGAGGTCTTTGATTATGACTCCATTGATTCCATGAAATTAAATATTCTTTATCATTATATTTATACCTCATTAGCTTATTTTGGCTTTCATATTCATTTAATAATTCACAATCTTCATTTTTAAATTGAAGTTTAACCCATTCAGGATTTAAACAATGTTTAATTAATCGCGGAATATCTGACATCATCTATATATAGTTTCTTTTATAAAAGATAAAAAATAAATTATTTTAAAATTAATGTTAATTTTTTAATGATTTATAAATAAATATATTTTAATGCATCGTCTATATATAGATGTAACAAAAAAAGTCACACAACCCGCACTCATCTACTACTCTTTACATATCGGATGTATTATCTAAGAATTATATTATAAAATAATAATTTTGTGTTTTATAAGTTTATTTGTATAAATTGATTCAAAAAAAATGGAAAGACAAGAAGTGGATCTGCCAAATGAAAATCAGTTTTTGAACTTTGTATAAGGAATTGTTGGCTATGATGTACTGATCATGAATCAGTACATCATAGCCAACAATTCCTTCGCAAACAGCGGGAAACTTTGTCTGAATAGTTTAACATTCAGACAAAGTTTCCCGCTGTCAGAGAGGGAATGGAAGGGTAAGAGGTATATATTCATAATGTATACCTCTTACCCTTTCATTCCCTCGAGAAAGTTCAAAAACTTGGGTGCAATCAGTTCTGATTGCACCCAAGTTTTTGAACTTTGTATAAGGAATTGTTGGCTATGATGCACTGATCATGAATCAGTACATCATAGCCAACAATTCCTTCGCAAACAGCGGGAAACTTTGTCTGAATAGTTTAACATTCAGACAAAGTTTCCCGCTGTCAGAGAGGGAATGGAAGGGTAAGAGGTATATATTCATAATGTATACCTCTTACCCTTTCATTCCCTCGAGAAAGTTCAAAAACTTGGGTGCAATCAGTTCTGATTGCACCCAAGTTTTTGAACTTTGTATAAGGAATTGTTGGCTATGATGCACTGATCATGAATCAGTACATCATAGCCAACAATTCCTTCGCAAACAGCGGGAAACTTTGTCTGAATAGTTTAACATTCAGACAAAGTTTCCCGCTGTCAGAGAGGGAATGGAAGGGTAAGAGGTATATATTCATAATGTATACCTCTTACCCTTTCATTCCCTCGAGAAAGTTCAAAAACTTGGGTGCAATCAGTTCTGATTGCACCCAAGTTTTTGAACTTTGTATAAGGAATTGTTGGCTATGATGCACTGATCATGAATCAGTACATCATAGCCAATTCCTTCGCAAACAGCGGGAAACTTTGTCTGAATAGTTTAACATTCAGACAAAGTTTCCCGCTGTCAGAGAGGGAATGGAAGGGTAAGAGGTATATATTCATAATGTATACCTTTACCCTTTCATTCCCTCGAGAAAGTTCAAAAACTTGGGTGCAATCAGAACTGATTGCACCCAAGTTTTTGAACTTTGTACAAGGAATTGTTGGCTATGATGCACTGATCATGAATCAGTACATCATAGGCAACAATTCCTTCCCAAACAACCCGAAATTTGTCTGATTCCACACTAATTTTATTAATTTATCTAAACTTTTATCCTCGTCTACAATTTAATCATCAATAATTATCTCTTGTTCTATTTCACTATTATATATATATATTTATATGATTTGATTTAAAAAAATAAATAAATTAATAAATCATTTACTCAAATATATCAAAAGTTTTATTTTTATATATAAAGATAACTACTTTTAAAAAAATAGTTATGTCATCTATTCAAATATATCAGTTCTGATTGCACCCAAGTTTTTGAACTTTCTCGAGGGAATGAAAGGGTAAGAGGTATACATTATGAATATATACCTCTTACCCTTCCATTCCCTCTCTGACAGCGGGAAACTTTGTCTGAATGTTAAACTATTCAGACAAGTTTCCCGCTGTTTGCGAAGGAATTGTTGGCTATGATGTACTGATTCATGATCAGTGCATCATAGCCAACAATTCCTTATACAAATTCAAAAACTTGGGTGCAATCAGAACTGATTGCACCCAAGTTTTTGAACTTTCTCGAGGGAATGAAAGGTAAGAGATATCCATTTCCTTTCACCTTCGTTCTCAATAATTAACTTATAAATTTTTTAAAGCAAAAAAAGTCTGATTTTTTTTGACAAGTAAATATATGGGAATTTATCCGACCAAATAAGTGTCACTTTTTCGGTTCACCTCACTTTCCGTAACTCGTCTTACAACAGATTCCATCAAAGGTTGCAGAATAGATGAGAACCACTTCGACTTAGAAAAGTATAGTACATTCTATTGCAAACAAGATGTAAGAATTTTAAGGGAAGGTTTTGTTAAGTTCCGCAATGACATATTGAAAGAATTTGATTTAAACGTTTATGACTACGTTAGTATTTGTTCAATTGCTAACAAATTGTTTGAGAACAGAGTGTACTTCCCGAATGGAAATTTAAATGATCTCTCAAATAAACCAAGAGAATAGAGAGATGGATGGTTTTGTTGTGGGAAGAGGAAGAAATTTGGGTGGTTGCTGGTTTGATGCGTAGTGGGGATGTTTGTTGTTGGGGCGTGAAGACACTTTGGGTGGTTGCCTCTGGTTTTGATGGTGTGGGGATGGTTTGTTGTGGGGACGAGTGAAGAAATTTGGGTGGTTGCAATCTGGTTTTTGATGGTGTGGGGATGGTTTGTTGTGGGGATGGTGCGAAGAATTTGGGTGGTTTGGGAGGTGGTTTTGATGGTGTGGGGATGGTTTGTTGTGGGGAGAGTGAAGAAATTTGGGTGGTTGCATCTGGTTTTGATGGTGTGGGGATCGGTTTGTTGTGGGGAGGTGAAGAAATTTGGGTGGTTGCATCTGGTTTTGATGGTGTGGGGATGGTTTGTTGTGGGGAGAGTGAAGAAATTTGGGTGGTTGCCATCTGGTTTTGATGGTGTGGGGATGGTTTGTTGTGGGGAGAGTGAACGAAATTATTTGGGTGGTTGCATCTGGTTTTGACTGGTGGTGGGGATGGTTTGTTGTGGGGAGAGTGAAGAAATTTGGGTGGTTGCATTCTGGTTTTGATGGTGTGGGGATGGTTTTGTTGTGGGGAGAGTGAAGAAATTTGGGTGGGTTGCATCTGGTTTTGATGGTGTGGGGATGGTTGTTGTGGGGAGAGTGAAAAATTGGGTGGTTGCATCTGGTTTTGATGGTGTGGGGATGGTTTGTTGTGGGGAGAGTGAAGACATTTGGGTGGTTGCTCTGGTTTTGATGGTGTGGGGATGGTTTGTTGTGGGGAGAGTGAAGAAATTTGGGTGGCTTGCTCTGGTTTTGATGGTGTGGGGATGGTTTGTTTGTGGGGAGAGTGAAGAAATTTGGTGGTTGCATCTGGTTTTTGATGGTGTGGGATGGTTTGTTGTGGGGAAGAGTCGAAGAAAATTTGGGTGGTTGCATGCTGGTTTTGATGGTGTGGGGATGGTTTGTTGTGGAGGGAGAGTGAACGAATTTGGGTGGCTTTCATTGGTTTTGATGGTGTGGGGATGGTTTGTTGTGGGGAGAGTGAAGAAATTTGGGTGGTGCATCTGGTTTTGATGGTGTGGGGAGGTTTGGTTGTGGGAGAGTGAAGAAATTTGGGTGGTTGCTCTGGTTTTGATGGTGTGGGGATGGTTGTTGTGGCGGAGAGTGAAGACAATTTGGGTGGTTGCATCTGGTTTTGATGGTGTGGGGATGGTTTGTTGTGGGGAGAGTGAAGAAATTTGGGTGGTTGCATCTGGTTTTGATGGTGTGGGGATGGTTTGTTTGTGGGAGAGTGAAGAAATTTGGGTGGTTGCATCTGGTTTTGAATGGTGTGGGGATGGTTTTGTTGGTGGGGAGAGTGACAGAAATTTTGGGTGGTTGTCCTGGTTTTGATGGTGTGGGGATGGTTTGTTGTGGGGAGAGTGAAGAATTTGGGTGGTTGCATTCTGGTTTTGATGGTGTGGGGAATGGTTTGTTGTGGGGAGAGTGAAGAAATTTGGGTGGTTGCTCTGGTTTTGATGGTGTGGGGAGGTTTGTTGTGGGGAAGTGAAGAATTTGGGTGGTTGCACTCTGGTTTTGATGGTGTGGGATGGTTTGTTGTGTGGGAGAGTGAAAATTTGGGTGTTGCTCTGGTTTTTGATGGTGTGGGGATGGTTTGTTGTGGGGAGAGTGAAGCATTGGGTGGTTGCACTCTGGTTTTGATGGTGTGGGACTGGTTTGTTGTGGGGGAGATGACAGAATCTTGGGTGGTTGCTTGGTTTTGATGGTGTGGGGATGGTTTTGTTGTGGGGAGAGTGAAGAAATTTGGGTGGATTGCCATTCTGGTTTTGATGGTGTGGGGATGGTTTTTGTTGTGGGAGAGTGAAGAAATTTGGGTGGTTGCATAAATGTTTGCTGGTGTGGGGATGGTTTGTTGTGGGGAAGAGTGAAGAAATTTGGGTGGTTGCATCTGGTTTTGATCGGTGTGGGGTGGTTTGTTGTTGGGGAAAGTGAACGAAATTTGGGTGGTTGCACTGGTTTTTGATGGTGTGGGGATGGTTTGTTGTGGGAGAGTGAAGAAATTTTGGGTGGTTGCATCTGGTTTTGATGGTGTGGGGATGGTTTGTTGTGGGGACGAGTGAAGAATTTGGGTGGTTGCATCTGGTTTTGATGGTGTGGGGATGGTTTTGTTGTGGGGAGAGTGAACGAAATTTGGGTGGTTGCTCTGGTTTTGATGGTGTGGGGATGGTTTGTTGTGGGGAGAGTGAAGAAATTTGGGTGGTTGCTCTGGTTTTGCATGGTGTGGGATGGTTTGTTGGTGGGAGAGTGAGAGAAATTTGGGTGGTTGCTTGGTTTTTGATGGTGTGGGGATGGTTTGTTGTGGGGAGACGTGAAGAACTTTGGGTGGTTGCATCTGGTTTGTGGTGTGGGGATGGTTTGTTGTGCGGGAGAGTGAAGAAATTTGGGTGGTTGCATCTGGTTTTGATGGTGTGGGGATGGTTTGTTGTGGGAGAGTGAAAGAAATTTGGGTGGTTGCATCTGGTTTTTGATGGTGTGGGGATGGTTTTGTTGGTGGGGAAGAGTGAGAAATTTGGGTGGTTGCTCTGGTTTTTTGATGGTTGTGGGGATGGTTTGTTGTGGGGAGAGTGAAGAAATTTGGGTGGTTGCTCTGGTTTTGACTGGTGTGGGGGATGGTTTGTTGTGGGAGAGTGAAGAAATTTGGGTGGTTTGCATCTGGTTTTGATGGTGTGGGGATGGTTTGTTGTGGGGAGAGTGAAGAAATTTGGGTGGTTGCATTCTGGTTTTGAATGGTGTGGGGATGGTTTGTTGTGGGGAGAGTTGAAGATTCTGGGGTGGTTGCATTGGTTTGATGGTGTGGGGATGGTTTGTTGTGGGGAGAGTGAAGAAAATTTGGGTGGTTGCATCTGGTTTTGATGGTGTGGGGATGGTTTGTTGTGGGGAGAGTGAAGAAATTTGGGTGGTTTGCTCTGGTTTTGAATGGTGTGGGGATGGTTTGTTGTGGGGAGAGTGAAGAAATTTGGGTGGTTGCATTGGTTTTGATGGTGTGGGGATTGGTTTGTTGTGTGGGAGGTGAGAAATTCTGGGTGGTTGCTCTGGTTTTGATGGTGTGGGGCATGGTTTGTTGTGGGGAGAGTGAAGAAATTTGGGTGGTTGCATCTAGTTTTGATGGTGTGGGGATGGTTTGTTGTGGGAGAGTGAAGAAATTTGGGTGGTTGCATCTGGTTTGATGGTGTGGGAATGGTTTGTTGTGGGGAGAGTGAAGAAATTTGGGTGGTTGCTCTGGTTTTGATGGTGTGGGGATGGTTTGTTTGTGGGGAGAGTGAAGAAATTTGGGTGGTTGCATCTGGTTTTTTGATGGTGTTGGGGATGGTTTGTTGTGGGGAGAGTGAGAATTTGGGTGGTGCTCTGGTTTTGATGTGTGAGGGGATGGTTTGGTTGTGGGAGAGTGAAGAAATTTGGGTGGTTGCAATCTGGTTTTGATGGTGTGGGGATGGTTTTGTTGTGGGGAGAGTGAAGAAATTTGGGTGGTTGCTCTGGTTTTGATGTGTGGGGATGGTTTGTTGTGGCGGAGAGTGAAGAATTTGGGTGGTTGCTCTGGTTTTTGAATGGTGTGGGGATGGTTTTGTTGTGGGGAGAGTGACAGAAATTTGGGTGGTTGCATCTGGTTTTTGATGTGTGGGGGATGGTTTGTTGTGGGGAGAGTGAAGAATTTGGGTGGTTGCATCTGGTTTGCAATGGTGTGGGGATGTGTTTGTTGTGGGAGATGAAGAAATTCTGGGTGGTTGCATCCTGGTTTTGACTGGTGTGGGGATGGTTTTGTTGTGGGGAGAGTGAACAATTTGGGTGGTCTGCATCTGGTTTTGTGGTGTGGGGACTGGTTTGCTTGATGGGGAGAGTTGGAAGAACATTTGGGTGGTTGCTCTGGTTTTGATGGTGTGGGATGGTTTGTTGTGGGAGAGTGAGAAATTTGGGTGGTTGCGATCTGGTTTTGATGGTTTGGGGATGGTTTGTTTGGGGAGAGTCGAAGAAATTTGGGGTGGTTGCATCTGGTTTTGATGGTGTGTGGGATGGTTTGTTGTGGGGAGAGTGAACGAAATTTGGGTGGTTGCTCTGTTTTGATGGTGTGGGGATGGTTTGTTGTTGGGGAGAGTGAAGAATTTGGGTGGTTGCATCTGGTTTTGATGGATGTGGGGATGGGTTTGTTGTGGGGAGAGTGAAGAAATCTTGGGTGGTTGCTCTGGTTTTGAACTGGTGTGGGGATGGTTTGTTGTGGGGAGAGTGAAGTTTTGGGTGGTTGCATCTGTTTTATGGTGTGGGGATGGTTGTTGTGGGGAGAGTGAGAATTCTTGGGTGGTGCTCTGGTTTTGAATGGTGTGGGGGATGGGTTTTGTTGTGGGGAGAGTGAAGAAATTTGGGGTGGTTGCATCTGGTTTTGATGGTGTGGGGATGGTTTGTTGTGGGAGAGTGAAGGAAATTTGGGTGGTTGATCTGTTTTTGTGGTGTGGGGATGGGTTTGTTGGTTGGGAAGTGAAGAATTTGGGTGGTTGCTCTGGTTTTGATGGTGTGGGGATGGTTTGTTGTGGGGAGAGTGAAGAAATTTGGGTGGTTGCACTGGTTTTGATGGTGTGGGGATGGTTGTTTGTTGGGGAGAGCGTGACAGAAATTTGGGTGGTTCGCATCTGGTTTTGATGTGTGGGGGATGGTTTGTTTGTGGGGAGAGTGAAGAATTTGGGTGGTTGCCTCTGGTTTTGATGGTGTGGGGAATGGTTTGTTGTGGGGAGAGTGAGAAATTTGGGTGGTTGCTCTGGTTTTGATGGTGTGGGGATGGTTTGTTGTGGGGAGAGTGAAGAATTTGGGTGGTTGCTCTGGTTTTGATGGTGTGGGATGGTTTGTTGTGGGGAGAGGTGAAAGAAATTTGGGTGGTTGCATCTGGCTTTTTTGATGGTGTGGGGGATGG